CTGGATGGCTGGCCCTTGGAGTCCTCCTCTTCTTCTCCTTTGGCACCTCGATCTCCTCTTCCCAGATTCCTTCTCCTATTTATTCTCTCTGCCTACAGCCTTGCCTACCCTTTCTCCTGCCTAACTATTGGCCATTCAGCTCTTTATCAGACCAATCAGTTGTTTTAGGCAGGTAAAGTAACACAGCTTCATAGAGTTAAACAAATGCAGCATAAAAGAATGCAATACATCTTTGCATCATTAAACAAATATTCCACATAGTCAACTAGTATTCCACAACAGGCATGCTCTGATGTGTATGGGTCTGTTCCTTGGCAATTTGTTTTTCTGTTGTCAGTTTATTGTAGGTTTATGATGTTTCTGTGTCTCCAGGGCAAGACTCTATATGTATGCCTGTTCTTGCTTTGTCAGTACCCCAACAACAGGATTCTAACAGGAATTCAGATGGGACAGTTCTTGTGATTTGTTTGTTTGTTTGTTTGTTTGTTTGTTTTTGCCAAGAATTTGGCTGCATTTTCCTGTCTTGTGAAAACTTGAGTAGGGTTAAGTTTGAAGATGATGGACTGATCTCTGTTTGGCAGAGGAGAGTCACGGCAGGATGGTATTCAGGCTGGTGCTGAAGAAGCAACTGTAAGTGGTAAGGAGATCAGCATCACTGTAGAGAAGCTTCCTGTGTTGTACTGGGACAAGAGGAAGGCTATCCCAAGGGTAGGACCTCACCCATGAGGTAGGAGGCCTCATCCTGTAGAGAAACAAATTCATTTAAAGGAATGAAACTTAATCTGAAAAGGTTCCCTGCTCCTCAGGGGCAACTACCTAGGAGAGTATGTCCTCAAGGTCTGCATATGGCGTGGTCGGTCCTAGGAGCCTGGTTACACCTTGAGCTGGCAGCAGAGCTTAGCAGCATTGCAAGCATTGTGGACATGGTACTGCTTTTAAAGACAAAGATGCAAGGATCCTGAAGAGCAGCTGAGGCCAGGCACCCCTGTGGCAGAGTTGTAGTCCCTGTGGAGAGGCCATTGTGTGGAGCTGTGAAGGTGAGACCTCAGTTGCAGTGGAGACCCCAGAGTATTGGAGATGTCAAGACCATAGGGCGTCTGCATCCTGTGGATGCAGGGAGAGCTGCAGTTGTCAGATAGAGCCAGCCTTAGAGAGAAGCTGCAGGTACTGTAGCTGGCAGAACTCAAGGGCTCAGGGCTACTCCAGCCTTTAGAGCCAGATGATTACATTCTAAGTTCCAGATGCTGGACAAGAAGGTGTAGGGTTTGGTATCATCTGATGGATTTTAGTTTTATTTTGGTGTGACTGTCCTGTTCCCTGGTTCTTCCCTTTTAGAATAAAATATATTTATACTGTGCTATTATATGTTCAACGTATATAACTTGTTTTTTATTTTAAGGCACTCACAGTTAGACGGGATTTTTTTTATTTTGTTTTGTTTTGTTTTGTTTTTTGAGACATGGTTTCTCTGTGAAACAGTTCTGGCTGTCCTGGAACTCACTCTGTAGACCAGGCTGGCCTCAAACTCACAGAGATCCGCCTGCCTCTGCCTCCCGAGTGCTGGGATTAAAGGCGCGCGCCACCACCGCCCAGCTTTAGATGGGATTTTAAAGTGTTGGAATTTTTAAAGACTGTGGAGACATTTTTAAATGATTTATTTTTATTTTATATGCATTGGTGTTTTGCCTGCATGTATGTCTATATGAGGGTGTCAGGTCCCCTGGAACTGGAGCTCCAGACAGTTACAAGCTGCCATGTGGTTGCTGGGAATTGAACACAGGTCCTCTGGAAGAGCAGCCAGTGCTCTTAACCGTTGAATCATCTCTCCAGTCTGACTATGGATACTTTTAAAGTTGTGCTGTGCTTATATTATGAAAGAAATATGAGTCTTTGGGGACAGGATGTGGAAGAATATGGCTTAAAGAGATGTGTCTGTGTGTCAAATTGACAAGGGGTGGGGATTTAAGACAGTATGTATGTATGTGTGTGGAGAAGTGCACATATATACTGCAGCGTGTGTGTGGAGGTCAGAACAATTTGCCTGCCAGGAGTTGGTTCTCTTCACCCCCCATGTGGGTTCAGGGGTCAAGTTCAGGTGGTCAGGCTTGGCAGCAAGTGTCTTTACCCACTGAGCCATCCCACCACCTTGTTTTTTTCCCCAGCAGTTTTGGCAATTACCTTCCTAAGAGTCTTTAATAAGGCTTATTGTTTCATTAGAGTCATTCCTAGCTGTTTTATGCAATTTTGTTGCTATTATTAATGGTACCATCATGAATTATAAATGCCACCTCTGGTGATACATGAAAAGTACAGTTGGTTCTTGGCCTTTTTTACAGCTCTCTGAGTTTGGAAAGTTCCTATTCTTCCTTTGTTAATACGGATCCTCCAATGGGTGTTCTAGTTTAGCTTTTCTTTCTGAATATTCTGCATCCATCGGATTGTGTGGGCTTCCTCCTCTTCATTAGATTTTCAAATGTTAGACCACATCTGCATTCCCAAGATAACCCAGCTCAGCACAATGAGCTTTTCATATGCTAGTGGATTTGGTTTGCTAATATTTTTGTCGAATTTTTAAATCTGTTTTTGTGAGACTCTTCTGTAATTTTTGCTTTTTCTCATTGTTTTTGGTTTTGGTAGCAATTTTTTTTGTCTTATAAAATAAATTATATTCTATCAAATTAATAGTGTGTTTCTCCCTCTCTTCCTTCTCTTTTTCCTCCCTTTTTGTATTAACCTCCATCCCTATTTTAGTGCTAGGAATGAACCCAGGGCCTTGCATGTGCTCGGCAAGGGTTCCATAGCTTAGTAACATCTCTGGCTCTGGGGTCTTTTATTAAACACCAACAGAGCAATCAAGCCATACCAGCGACACAGCTTGTCTGAGTCAGCACTCTCTGTTACAGAAACGTTTCCACTTCTGTATTGGAGGTAGCTAGTTGGATTTCTTTCCCAATTTAATTTGAGATGCTTCTGTTAGCATAAGGAGTGATATCCGAAGGCATCTACAGATGTGGTCCATCCATGTAGTAGGAGGAGAGGTGAGTCCTGGGCTCCTGGAAGGCCTTTCACTGTGCCTTGTTTTGTTTTCAAGGCTGTGCGGGTTGTCTCCTTAGTCCCCTTTCTTCCTTCTTGTGTGGCAGTTCATACTTGGTTTTCTTCTGTAAAGGTCCTTGGCCTTGCCTGACAGGTATTTGGCCCTTAGATATTTGCTAACTGATGTAATTTGCCATCGTATTTAAATATGCTTTCCTGTGTAGTTGTCCATTCCTTTCTTGAGTAGAAGACCCGGATTTTCCTACTTCTCAGAAAGGTGATTCACAGCGTCCAGTAGTAGTTTCTTAAGCAGTGTGAGCATGAAGTGCACGGTAGGGCTGAAGGGAGGCCTCATTTGGTGAAGTGATTCAGATCCCTAAAATTCAGTCCAAGCATTGACAGGATGGGCATGGAGATAGCGAGATCCTTAGGGCTTGTTGGCCAGTCAGCCTAGCCAGCTTGGTGAAGTTCCAGGCCAGTGACAGACCCTGTCTGTCTCAGTTAGGGTTTCCATTGCTGTGATAAGATACCATGATCAAAAGTAACTTGAGGAGGAAAGAGTTTATTCCAGCTTATAACACTCAGCTTCTTCATACAGTGCAATTCTGCCCCGAAAAGGAAAGAAATTCTGACATGTACTGCAATACGAATGAGCCTTGAGGGCATTATGGCCAATGAGAGAAGCTAGTCACCAAAAGATAAGGACGTACAGATTCTGCTTACATAAGGTCTCAGAGTGACCATTATCAGACAGAAAAGGCAGACATGGGGACAGTTCCCCTGTGGGATGGTGAGAAAGTTCTGGCTGTGGAAGGAGGTGATGGCTGCCAACACTGGTGGTGGTGAATTTTGTGTTGCTGAATGCTGATGTCTGAAGACTGTCTTCCAGTGTGCCCTCTCTGAGTGGTGTAGGGCCAGCTCCATGAACTAGTAAGTGTATTGAGGTGACTTATAAACCATTGGTGAGGGGTTATTACAGGACTGTGACATCTTTAGGCAGCTGTATTACTGAAAAGCCTATTCCAGCATGAGTGAGGACTCAGGAAAGCTACATCCTGGGAGCTCCTCACGTAACAGCCCACCGCTTCCACAACTGGGGTGTCCGAGGCTTTGTGAGTCCTTCTGACTCTCTAAGCTCTCCAAGCCAGCTGACCTGCCTGCTTGCCTGCACTCTGTCGCTCTCCACCCCCCCCTTTTCTAAAATGTGTATGTGTATGTCGTGTGTGTGTAGGTGCCAATGGAGGCCAGAAGAGGGTGTCATATTCCCTGGAACCAGAGGTAGAGGTTGTGATTCACCTTTTGTGGGTGATGGGATCCAGACTCGCGTCCTCTGGAAGAGCAGCAAATGCTCCTGACTTCTGGGCCATCTCTCCAGATCATAAGCCTGGTTCTATCAGCTTTGAAATCATGTACATTTTGTTAGCTTCCTAAGTCTTCTGAGTCCCTCTCCTCCTTCTGGGAGGGGATGTTTGAATTGGGAAGAAATAGCAACCCAACGCTGTCATTTCCTGGAGGAAGAAACACAAGCTCTTGCTGGAATGATCTTCAGACACTGGTTAGGGCGTCTTTAGCTTCTTAAAGCGATTATAAGAAGACAGGAGCGCACAGGAGTGATGAAGACAGCCTTCACATTGAATTAGTCTTCACATACTTCTGCTTTTTAGCCGTCAGTATCAATCCGCCCCTGAGACAGGCTGTCTGTGTGCGGTTTGGGAAAGCAGGGCGGGCCTTATCATCTAGGGTACACAGTTGCTAACTAGCAGCAGATAGCTAAAGAACCTGGGAGGACTCTTGCAGTTTTGCATATTTTGTGGTAAGTATTTCAATTAAAATGTACCAAACAATGACTTCAATTGAATCTCTCACTGTGTTGCTGGGCTTGGCCTTTCCTTCAGTGTAGCACAAAGGATAGAACTGATGATCTCTTCCCAGGAGGGTAGCCTAACACATCTTTTTCTTTTTTTTAGAGCTCAAAATTGGGGCGCGGAGTTGCCCTGGCCCAGACTTCGCAGCGCACCTCAGCTCGAAGATCCTTTGGAAGGTCTAGGAGGTTCAGCATCACGCGCTCCCTCGATGATCTTGAGGTAGGTGGATTGGACTTGCTGGCCACTGTGTGCTGTGGCCAGTCTTTCCCCTCTGTTCCCCTCCAAGGCTTTGTACCTACCCTCCTGGGAGCCCAGTGAACTCTCCCCGTCAGCAGGAGCTTCCAGAGCATGTTGCTGGACTTTTCCTATCCCTCAGAATGCCTGAGTCACCTGGACCCCCACACTGGGGAGCCTGATCAGACAGGAGTATGTTTAATCCTGTGGGACAATTGAGGTAGGACCTAAAACCTGGTCAGCCAGATCAAAGGCCATTTTTTTTTTTCGAGACAGGGTTTCTCTGTGTAGCTTTGCGCCTTTCCTGGAACTCATTTGGTAGCCCAGGCTGGCCTCGAACTCACAGAAATCAGCCTGGCTCTGCCTCCCGAGTGCTGGGATTAAAGGTGTGCACCACCACCGCCCGACTCCCCCCCCCCCCCCCCCCCCCCCCCCCCCCCCCCCCCCGAGACAGGGTTTCTCTGAGTAGCTTTGGTGCCTGTCCTGGATCTCGCTCTGTAGATCAGGCTGGCCTCGAACTCACAGAGACCCACCTGGCTCTGTCTCCTGAGTGCTGGGATTAAAGTTGTGTGCCACTACTACCCGGCTACTCAAAGGCCATTTTAAGAATAGATTTTATTCTTCTGGGAAGTTTTAGGTTTCTAGAAAACTAGAGCAGAGAGGAAGTAGAGATCCTGATGGTGATGCCCCACTTGTCACCATGTGAGGGTTGAGTCCTTGTTATAGCCAGTGCTCACTGTGGGGGCATTGCTGTTAAAGACAGTGCAGCAACATTGAAGGGGCATTGAAGGGGCATCTCCTCTGCATGTGGGCACATGTGCCATGCCATGCCATACTAGCCCACACAGCACATACAGGCCATTGACAGCACCCCCAAGGTCCCCTGTGCTCTCTGTCCCCTCCCTGAGCCATTAGCACCCACAGATCACGTTGCTGGCTTTACTCGTTTATGAATTCTGACAGACACAGTTGTCCTCCCTGCCTTGTTCCGCCACTTTTAAAGTGCAGCCCCATTTGCTCTCAAGATTTATGTTGTGGTTTTATGTGGCATGGCGTCATAAACCTGTGGCAGTTAGACTCCTCTGTCTTGATGGACATGCTGGGGAAGATGAAGTGTCTACTAAAGAGGCTGTGTGAGTGTTCTCCTACACATGTTCTGCACACGTGTGGAAGAGCTGAGTGACAGGTGCCCATGGATGTCCCTAGTGTCTGCTTCCACACTTGGCCAGGTGACAGTGATGACTAGCTACAGGGCTGGTCCATGGTGTAGAAGAGAAAAGGCGTGTTAGATGAGAGGCTGTAAGGCAAGGTCTGCCTGGGCCTGGGGACCCTCATGGCATTGCTGGACCTCATGAGAAGGTGGATTATAGCTAGCCTGCCTCCAGGCAGGGCTTCCTGCCAGGGGTCTGTGTCTGTACTTCTGTGAGAGGCCTTAGTGGGTCTGAGCCCTGAGCGTGTATACAGCTTCCTGGTTTATGTTTGAGAAACCACTGTAGAGGTTTGGGCTCTGATCTGCTTCCCTTCCTCTCTAGGAATGTGCTGGGTCTTCCTGCTGGCCAGCAACTGAGTCTTGCTGTTGTCAGCAGTTGGAAGTAAGCATGGGCTGGTGTTCCAAGCCTCTCCCTCCTATCTTCAGACCATCACAACAAGGGGGTTGTCAGAATGGCCTTGAACTCACAGCCTCCTAAGGGCTAGGATTCCAGGCCTGTGTCTTGCTGACATGGCCTCTTTACAGATAGGAAGCCCATTGCAGACCAGCTGTGAAATGCTTCTTGGGTCACATGGCAGTGATGCTGTGGCTTTTCATCACATAGGTAACATCTTATTTAATCTTTCTGAACTTCTCCTAAAGATTTCAAACTGTGGAAGCAACAAACAATCCTGACCACCTGGGGAGCTGGAGCCTGTACTTGACTTGGCTCCTGTGGCAGGTGTGCTCGGAGCTTCCTCCTAGTCTCTGCCTCTGTGGGCTCCACAACCCTTGGGTGCAGCTGACCCTGGTGACCAGGACTGCTGTAGAGTACAGCAGAGTGCTGGGATGTCGCCCGGATGGCTAGATAGTGATCAGCTCTGTTCACTGGAGGCCACGGGTCAGGCAGCTATCTGTGGTCAGCAGGCCGCTGGGACGGAAGCTGTCTCATGGATGCTGTATGGTCCTGCCCCTGTTGCCATGTGCCACTCATCCCTGCACTCTCTGGCTAGTGCCAGAGGTTAGCCCTGTCCTTCTAAGGACTCCGCTGGTGGTCTAGGGATATTCTGTGGTGGATGTAGTCGTGTGGGGCAAGGGTTCATGCTGTCGCTCTCCTCCTGCCGTTCTGAGGCCTCCCTCCCTTCCCCAGCCATCCTTTTTAGCTGAGGTCTTCCAACCACATCACCTGCCCTGCTCACGAACCTTTACATAGTCTTACCTGGGCTTGTTCTCCTCACACATAAATGTGGCCAGGCTACCCTGTCACAATCTGATCCTTTTGGCCATCTGTTTTTGATCCACTTCATCCTGAGCTGACCTGTTTGCTTCGCTGTCTCCTCCGCTGTCCTCCACAGTCACTAGTTACAAGCACTTACCTGGGTGGCCCTAGGTGTGGGTGTCCTGGCTGTGAGTGACATGGAGTCTGCAGCCTGCTCCTCCCTGGGGTGGGTGTATCCATGCTGTCTCATGGACCATTTGGTGCCTGGAAACTGACCATTGTCCCATGTAGAAACTTTATATTCTGGCCCAGCAGCACTAGGAGCTGCTTTTTTGGCAGCAGGAAGTAGCAGTAGGAGCACAGTATGTACAGAAGGAGCTGAGCCATGTTCCCGAGGGAGAGGCAGTCAGCATCTAGAGCCCAGACAAGCCTCCAGGCTGTGGCTTCTCTGTGATTGGTGAGAGGTCTGTGTTAATGACTTATCTCTGCTTGGAAGGGATGACTTCTGACTACTCTGCTGATGGACAGCCCTGAATGCAGGTCTGTCTCTTACCCTCTGGGGTTCCAGTGCTGGACCAAGGCCCATGTACCTGCTGCTTGATGGTATCATGAGCCCTGCCCTGTTGTGCTGGTCCAGGGGCCCAGATTATTTCTGACTGTCCTGTGACAGGGTGAGCATTGATGTTGGCTTGGAACAGCTGCACATGTTCCCAGCATGCTGTCTCCCAGTACTGTGACTCTTTATGTTTCTTTTCAAGTTGCTGGGCAGAAGCAACATAGGAGAGAAAGGATTTATTGGCTCACAGCTCAAGGTTATAGGCCATCATAGCAGGGAAGTCAAAGTGGCAGGCTTGAAGCAGTTGGTTGCGTTGAATCTGCAGTCAGGAAGCAGGGAATGGTGATTGTGCTCATGCTAGTTCTCAGCTGGCTTTCTGAGTTGTATACAGCCCAGGATCCTCTGCAGGAAATGGCCTCACCCATGACTAAGATGGGGTTCCCCAGCTGGGCAGTGGTGGAGCATGCCTTTGATCCCAACAGACACAGCGGATCTCTGAGTTCCAGGCCAGCCTGGTCTACAAAGCGAGTTCCAGAATAGCCAGGGCTACACAGAGAAACCCTGTTTTTTTTTTTAAATGGGGTTCCCCATATCATTTAACACAATCAAGCTAATCTTCCATGGGTATGCCCAGAGGCCCATCTCCTGGGTGATTAGTTGAACACTAGGGAAAAACTAAGCAACTCCTACTGACAACACTTGCTTTGGTGTCATAAGGACCTTCCTAATTGTCTCCTGATAGCTCCCAGCCAGCTGGCACCAGGAACACCTTGCTCTGCCCTCAGTGAGGGGATGTACTGGAATCAAGAGTTCTGTCTTCCCCCTGAGTCTCTGGAGGACTCTGCTCCCTGCCCTCTGGCTGCAGGGGATGGGATCCTACCTATTCCACAGTAGCTTTGATTGTGCTCAGTCCCTCTAGACCTTAGTCTCTTTTCCCTCTTGGTGTGGTTTGGGATTCAGTGCTTTCTTGCTACACCCTCTTCGAAGGTTGCAAAGCTGAGCACGGGCTGGACCATAAAGCAAGTCTCAGAAGAATGAGAAATGGTGCCCAGCCTGTTCCTGCCTCTGTGCAGGCAGACCGGAAACAGCAGCACCTGTCAGCTCAGTGGACTGTGCCTTGCTAACGCAGCTGGGTCAGAGAAGAAGTCCCCGTGGACATTAGGGAGTGTTTGAACTGAATGGTGGTGAAAATATTACCTGTCTAAGCGGGTAGGGTGTGGCAAAAACTGTTGTTATGGATTGAATCTAAAATGCCTCCCATAGGCTCATGTTTTAAATGCTTGGGCCTTAGCTGTTAGCTCTGCTTTGGGAAGCTGTTACAGGCCCATCAGGCAGAACATCAGTTAGGGCCTAGGAGTGACTCTTTGAAGGTTATCCTGCCCGTGGTTGCACCCTTACACTCTCATTCCTGCTTTACCAGCGTGTGAACAGCCTCTGACACTCATTAGGACTGTGAATCTCAGCCACACTGTCCCCAGCATGAGGGGCTGTGATCCTCTGCCCCTGCACCAAGTGATCTTCCTCCCTAAAGTTGTCCTGTGATGCAACATAGCAGTCACACCAAATACTAACTTAATGTTCTTAGGGCTTCTAAGTGTGTGTGTGTGTGTGTGTGTGTGTGTGTGTGTGTGAGAGAGAGAGAGAGAGAGAGAGAGAGAGAGAGAGGGAGGGAGAGGGAGAGGGAGAGAGAGAGGGGGAGAGGGGGAGGGAGAGAGGTGTGTGAGTGTGAGTGTGCGCACATGTGCATGCAGGTGGAGGTCAGAGATTGACATCAGGTGTCTTTCTTGGTCTGTCTTCACTTTATATTTGAAGCGGATTCTCTCACTGAGCTCATGGATTCTGTGAGGCTGGCACCAGTGAGCCTCAGGGATCTGCTTGTCTCCGCCCTCCCCAAACACTGGGGTTGAAGGTGTGTAGCACTATGCCCCAGCCTTCATGTAGGTGCTGTTAATCTGAATTCAGGTCCTCATACTTGTGTGACAGGCCTGTAGAGATGGGCTGTCCCCCCAGCCCCCACAGTG